ATTGTACAGAGATCCTCTAACTGGCTCATTGTGTTTTGCCTGTAATCCACACTGTGTAGTGACAGCTTGATCACAGACATTCATAGGGCACACTGGCCTCCTGTGTGTGTTCTGCAGTGTCATTTATAAACGGCACCAGGGGCGGACTGACCATTTGGAAACTCGGGCACTGCCTGAGGGCCCAGGATCAGTAGGGGGCCCCATGAGATGCCCCTGGTACCTTTTTCATAGGCTTTTTTGAGTTTGGGCAAGGACACAGGGGCCCCATGATCCCCTATTGACCGGGGGCCCCATGAGTTGTCAGTCCGCCCCTGAACGGCACCCCAAAAATCTAAATCCACCTACATGCCGATAGTGTTGTGTGATTTCATGTACAAAACAAGAGAATGAACAAGAATTGACACAAAACATTTTTGATGTTGGCTGGTCTGACACCTGTTTAGTCTGTTTCATCTAGGCATTAGCAATATATTGCTGAAAAATAAATCAGTGTATCAGGGGCGGACTGACAACTCATGGGGCCCCCGGGGCAATGGGGGATCATGGGGCCCCTGTGTCCTTGCCCAAAACTCAAAAAAACCTATGAAAAAGGTACCAGGGGCATCTCATGGGGCCCCCTACTGACCCCGGGCCCTCGGGCAGTGCCCAAGTTTCCAAATGGTCAGTCCGCCCCTGCAGTGTATGCATGTGGAGAATACCAGAGGGCAGCGGGGGAAGGGGGGTGGAGTTCTGTAGTGCATCAGGCGGAGCTAATAATTCTGCTCAGGTTGTCAGTACAACACCGGCACTATGCTGTCTCCACAAACAGTACATTGGGAGCTCAACTGATTCTAGCGGTCATTTGTGTGTTTACAATGTTTTTTAAAGTATACATTATTGTGAAATGTTGCTTCTATTGAAGGGATGTACTGAATATTTTTTTTTCTATTGTCCATGACAGTTATCCTTTACATAAATCGAAATTTGGCTGATTCCAGACAAATGTTGATCCATATATTGCCACCTTTATGGTTTACATATACTGTCAATGTAGTTTTCAGTGTCATATACTAAATCAATTTATTGTTCCAGTTTCATTTAATAGTAATATTGTAGTTGTGGGTTTTGCATCTTCCTTTTTCTCTGTCGTTTTATTTGTTTGTTTCTTGCGGCTCCCTGATGGCGGCTTTGGAAAGCTTCACAGCTTCTCTATATAGCCCTGTATCTTGCCTTCGGCAAATCACTAGTTACAGATTAAAATAGATGAATATTATCAGGTTACAGCATTGTTTACTTGTCATAAGTAGCTCTTTTTTTTTCAGTAGCTGTAGTGGTTTTATGAATACATTGTATACAGATATTTCTCAATATTTCCTTCAACATTCATATTTTCTAGTTTGACATCTTTTTCCAGCTTTATAAAATGTAATTTAATGAGTGTGTACAAAGGGAAATACAGAGTTTAACCCCACCTGACTCAATAAACTCTTATACATTATTATTATTATACAGTATTTATAAAGCGCCAATAGTTCGCTCAGTGCTGTACATTACAAAGGGGGACAGAACATGTGACAGAACAATACCAATACAATGCAAAACATGAGGGGATCGAGGGCCCTGCTCTTTGGAGCTTACAATCTAGGAGGGGGGGATGGTGGCACAGGAGGAGATAGCTGTGGGGGATGGAGTGGTAGGAAGAGTGGAGGAGGTCGGCAGGTTAGCAGGGGGTGGGGTAGGCTTCCCTGAAGAGATGGGTTTTCAGGGTGCGCCTAAAGGAGAGGAGAGTAGGTGATAATCTGATGGGTTGGGGCAGGGAGTTCCAGAGGATGGGTGACACCCTGGAGAAGTCCTGGAGGCGGGCATGGGAGGAGGAGACCAGGGAACTAGAGAGAAGGAGGTCTTGTGAGGAGCGGAGTGTGCGTGTTGGGCGGTACTTGGATATTAGGTCAGTGATGTAGTTCGGGGCAGTATGGTGGACGGCTTTGTACGTCAGTGTTAGGATTTTGAAATTGATCCGTTGCGCAATCGGAAACCAGTGGAGGGATTGGCAGAGGGGGGTGGCGGAGACGGAGCGGTTGGTAAGGTGGATGAGTCTGGCTGCTGTATTCAGGATGGACTGAAGCGGGGATAGCCAGCGGCGAGGCAGGCCAGTGAGGAGGGAGTTGCAGTAGTCGAGTCGTGATATGATGAGGGAGTGGATGAGCTGTTTAGTGGTTTCTGGGGTTAGGAACGTGCGGATTTTGGCGATGTTACGGAGGTGGAGTCTGTACAAGTTACATACAGTATACATTGCCAATCTAAGGCCTCCTACACACTGGGTGTCTTGCCATTGTGCCTCAGATCTTGATTTTTTATATATATATATATATATATATATATATAGTATATACAGTTCATCTGCGCAATATATGCACATTTCCCCATGTTTCATTTAAATACCCTGTGTGCACTGCTCTCCTAATTTCCTGTTGTGAGTTAACATTTTCTGCAGTGAAAGGAATAGTGTCAGCCCTGCCCAGTTCTGTTTTGCTGAACTACAGAAACACCACTCCATCCATATCTCTATTACATGAGGGGGCTGTTCTGTAGTCCAGCAGAGGAGGATTGATTAGACTGCTTGAGATATGACTGCAGAGTGTTCAGGACACAGAATTGTGTTCCAAGCATCTGTCCCTGGGTGCATACAGCCCGACACATTATTACCACTCAGTAGAGCATCCATTCTCCGCCAGCCTTTGTATTTTTCAGCCTCTCATAGAATTTTACAGGCTGCAGACAGTGAAACTGGACCATGCACCTGGGATTTGAGTCACTATTCCTCCCATTGACATCAATGATGGGGCACTATTTCTCCCCCTGACACCAATGATGAGGCAGCATTCCATCCACTGACACCTATAATAGGGCAGTATTCCTCCCACTGATACTAGCATTGGGGCACTATTCCTCCCGCTGAAACCAATGATGGGATAGTTTTCTTCCAACTGACACCAATGGTAGGACATGATTCCTCCCACTGACAGCAACGATGGGGAACTATTTCTCCCACTGACACCAATGATGGGGCACTATTCCTACCACTGACACCAATGATGGGGGCAGTATTTCTTCCATTGGCACCAAAGATGGGGCACTATTTCTCTCACTGACACCAACGATGGGGTTCTATTCCTACCACTGACACCAATGATGGGGCACTATTTCTCTCATTGACACCAATGATTTGGCACTATTCCATCCCCTGACACCTATGATGGGGCACTATTCCTCCCACTGATACCAATGTTGGGGCACTATTCCTCCCACTGACAATAATGGTGGGGCACCATTCCTCCAACGGGCAGCAACAGTGGGGCACAATTCATTCCACTGACACCAATGATGGGGCACTATTCCACATACTGGCACCAACAATGGGACACTATTGCTCCCACTGGCACCAATGATGTGTGTAAACAACAGAGAATCACACAGCAACATGTCTCTGTAGTAAAACAGCACCCAGGTAACCCTTTGATCTCCCCAGATGTTAACCCCTTCCTGCCCAGTGTCATTAGCACAATGTCAATGCTTTTTATTAGCACTGATCACTGTATTACTGCCATTGGGATGTCATTGGCAGTTAGTCAGTTCCCACCAAGTGTTAGAATGCCCGCCTCAGTCCCCCAGTCCCAGTATAAGACGCTGATCACCGCCATTACTAGTACAAAAAAAATGTAAATAAAAATTCCAGTATCTATACCACCATTTGTAGATGCTATAATTTTCATATAAACCATTTACATCTATTGGGATTTTTTTTTAGCAAAGACATGTAGCAGAATACATTTTGGCATAAAGCCTCTTTCACACAGGCGTTCCGTATGTCTTCTTTTCATCTGTCCTTTTACGGATGAAAAATGGATCCCCATGTATCTCTATGGACTAGCAGATGTAAACAGATGATCATCTGTTTACATCTGTTAATGTCCATATCAGGGGTGGACTGACCATTCGAACACTCAGGCACTGCCCGAGGGCCCTGGGTCAGTAGGGGGCCCCATGTGATGCCCCTGGTACATTTTATTGGCTTTTTCATAGGCTTTTTTGGGTGTGTGCAAGGACACAGGGGCCCCATAATCCCCTATTGCCCGGGGGCCCCATGAGTTGTCAGTCCGCCCCTGGTCCATATCCATTGACATCTGTTTTTTTGAATGGAAGAAAGCACTATTTTTCATCTGTAGAAAAAAAAACGGAACGGACAAAAAACGGATGTAAATGGATGAAAAATTGATGTAAATGGTGGAAAACTGATGAAAAACAGATGTAAATGAATGAAATACAGATGTAAAATGGTTGTAAATGAATGAAAAACAGATGTAAATAAATGAAATATAGATGTAAAATGGTTTTAAATGAATGAAAAACGGATGGAAAATGGATGTAAATGGATGAAAAAAGAATGAAAAAACTGATGAAAAACGGATGTAAACTGATACGTTTTTGCTTGGGAAAAAAACATGACTAAAGTGATGAAAAAAAATGGAACACCCGTGTGAAAGGGGCTTAAATTTATGCTGAAATGTGATTTTTAAAATTTTTGTACTGGATATGTTTTTATCGCAAAAAGTCAAAAATATATATATATATTTTTTTTTTATTTGTCAGTATTTTTTGTTTATTACGCAAAAATTAAAAAACCGCACAGGAGATCAAATACCACCAAAAGAAAGCTCTATTCATGGTGAAAAAAAAGGACATACATTTCATTTGGGTGCAGAGTTGCATGACTGTGCAATTGTCCGTTAAAGTAACGCAGCTCCGTATCGTAAAAAATTACCTGATCAGGAAGGGGGTTAAATTCTCTGGAGGGCAAGTGGTTAAAAAGTGAACTTGGCCTTTAAATACTGACAAAGTTATTGCTGAATAAACAGATCCATAGCAAAAATGTGAAAACTGCTCTGGACAGTAAGGGGCGTACAGGGGTGAGAGAAGAAGTGGTGAAAACTGAATTATTTAATCATTATTTCTTATTTCAGGAATACGATGATGGCTATGGAACGGCATATGATGAGCAAAGTTACGAGTCTTACGATGACAACTACACTTCTCAAGTACAGAGGTAAGGTACCTCAGCTGCTCACCCTTATTACTCATAACTATTTCATTCCTAGCGCACAGATTCATTAGCGTAATGAGAGCAGATTCAAAGCTGCTTCCTGTGCACTTTCCCTTATAGGCCAGGTGCTCTGGGGACTTATATTAGCAATTAAAGTGTGGCGTTCACTGAAGCAACAAATTTTGCACCTTAAGAAAACAGAATCTTCTTTTTCTGGTTGTTGTTTTTTTTTTTTTTTTTTTTATTAGAACGGCTTTTAGTAAGGCAGAATGCAGGTGATTAATATATAGATATTAATATAGCTTATGTTTCAGAAATTTCTACTCGATATGTAAAATGTAAAACACATAAAAACTCAATGTTAGCATCCATAAACTGTGATTAATAAAATATGTGAAATAAGAAAGGGTAAAAAAGAAAGGCGACTATCCTGTGCAAGGGAAAGTGTACTTTGCAAGGGAAGTGTGTTCAGAGCTTAGTAATGATGATGACACTTCAGATTTGAAAAGAATATTCATGTGTAAAGAAAAAAAAATGGTTGCACATGATTGGGTAATGGACAACTACAGAGCCTTCCTTCCTTTCTTCTTTCCTTCGTTCCTTCGGTCCTTCCTTCCTTCCTTCCTTCCTTCTTTCCTTCGTTCCTTCCTTCCATCCTCCCTCCCTTCCTTCCTTCCTTCCTTCCTTCCTCCCTTCCTTCCTTCCTTCCTTCCTTCCTTCTTTCCTACCTCCCTCCCTCCCTCCCTTCCTTCCTTCCTTGTGCACATGATTGGGTAATGGACACCTACAGAGACTTCCTTCCTTCCATCCCCCCCCCTCCCTTCCTCCTTCCTTCCTTCCTTCCTTCCTTCCTTCCTTCCTTCCTTCCTTCCCCCCCTCCCTCCCTCCCTTCCTTCCTTCCTCCCTCCCTCCCTTCCATCCCTTGTGCACATGATTGGGTAATGGACACCTACAGAGCCTTCCTTCCTTCCTTCCTTCCTTCCCTTCCTTCTTTCCTACCTCCCTCCCTCCCTTCCTTCCTTCCTACCTCCCTCCCTCCCTCCCTTCCTTCCTTCCTTGTGCACATGATTGGGTAATGGACACCTACAGAGACTTTCCTTCCTTCCATACCCCCTCCCTCCTTCCCTTCCTTCCTTCCTCCCTCCCTCCCTTCCTTCCTTCCTTGTGCACATGATTGGGTAATGGACACCTACAGAGCCTTCCTTCCTTCCTTCCTTCCTTCCTTCCTTCTTTCCTTCTTTCCTCCCTCCCTCCCTTCCTTCCTCCCTCCCTCCCTCCCTCCCTTCCTTCCTTGTGCACATGATTGGGTAATTGACACCTACAGAGCCTTCCTTCCTTCCTTCCTTCCTTCCTTCCTTCCTTCCTTCTTTCCTCCCTTCCTCCCTCCCCCTTCCTTCCTTCCTTCCTTGTGCACATGATTGGGTAATGGACACCTCTACAGAGCCTTCCTTCCTTCCTCACATGATTGGGTAATGGACACCTGCAGAGCCTTCCTTCCTCCCTTCCTTCCTTCCTCCCTTCCTCCCTCCCTCCCTTTCTTCCTTCCTCCCTCCCTTTCTTCCTTTCTTCCTTCCTTCCGTCTTTCTTTCCCCTCATTATCCAAGCTGTGGGGAATATTCCCTTGCAAAGTGCAACTTCTCTCTCGCAAAGTGAACAGTCTATTTGCCTTTAGTAAATCGACCTCTAACAAAGCAATCTCCATCTGAAACTTACCAAAATCGATGGACCCTTTTGTTAAAGAAGTTAAAGTGTTACTAAACCCACAACAGTACAATCAGTCTGTAGATGCAGTAAAGCATGCTTGTTTATACTCACTGTGGAACCTAAGGGGTTAATCCTCTGCATTGTGTAAAAAGGATGTTTGATCCTGTCTTCTCTGATCCTCCCTCCTTCTAATGTCCTTAATCCATCCCTCAGCCTTGAGGGCAAGCTGCACATGCTCAGTTTGGTGTGTATTACTAGAGAATTTTTTTTTCTTGTGATCAGTACAGGGCCAATAAGTGTTGTTCACAGGATTGGGGTCCTGTAGTCTCATAGAACACTGAGAAGAGAATGAAAACTCCTCCTACAAGATTTACTGCTGATGAGAAGATGTAATTAGTAGTTTACAGTTACTAAATAATTGCATTTCCATGTTCTGTGTCCTGTGGGAGACCAGATATAGTGAATGCAAGGTCCGGGGAGACCAGATATAGTGAATGCAGGGTCCGGGGAGACTGGATATAGTAAACGCAGGGTCTGGGGAGACCGGATATAGTGAATTCAGGGCCTGGGGAGCCCAGATATAGTGACTGCAGGGTCCGGGGAGACCGGATATAGTGACTGCAGGGTCCGGGGAGACCGGATATAGTGAATGCAGGGTCCGGGGAGACCAGATATAGTGAATGCAGGGTCCACGGAGACCAGATATAGTGAATGCAGGGTCCGGGGAGACCGGATATAGTGAATGCAGGGTCCGGGGAGACCGGATAGTGAACCGGATATAGTGAATGCGGGGTCCGGGGAGACTGGATATAGTGAATGCAGAGTCTGGGGAGACCGGATATAGTGAATGCGGGGTCCGGGGAGACCAGATATAGTGACTGCAGGGTCCGGGGAGACCAGATATAGTGAATGCAGGGTCCGGGGAGATCGGATATAGTGACTGCAGGGTCCGGGGAGACCGGATATAGTGACTGCAGGGTCCGGGGAGACCAGATATAGTGAATGCAGGGTCGGGGGAGACCGGATATAGTGAATGCAAAGTCCGTGGAGACCGGATATAGTGAATGCAGAGTCCGGGGAGATCGGATATAGTGACTGCAGGGTCCGGGGAGATCGGATATAGTGAATGCAGGGTCCGGGGAGATCGGATATAGTGACTGCAGGGTCTGGGGAGACCAGATATAATGAATGCAGGGTCCGGGGGGAGACCAGATATAGTGAATGCAGGGTCCGGGGAGATCGGATATAGTGACTGCAGGGTCTGGGGAGATCGGATATAGTGACTGCAGGGTCTGGGGAGACCAGATATAGTGAATGCAGGGTCCGGGGAGACCAGATATAGTGAATGCAGGGTTCGGGGAAACTGGATATAGTGAATTCAGGGTCCTGGGTTTAGTAACACTTTACGTTTTTAAGTGTAGCTACCATTACCAGTGGTGCAATCACTCCCTGTGTATCATTAGCCAGCTTGATTTTTTTTAACCAAATGAATTTTTTTTTTCTTTGAAGCAACAGCTTGTTTTCTGTTTATTTCCATTGAGTTACAAAATCCTCTGGTATGTGAGAAAAAACCTGAAGTGGTAACAATGATACTTGAACCGTAAACATCCTTCTGTATCTTCCCCCATTCTGTTTTTTGACCTTCTATAACAAAAGCTGCACCAATTCTAGTGCTATAAGGTGAAGGATCATTGTCTCACTCAACAATATGCAGGAAGGTTCTTTAAAACACATGAAGACTCATTTGATTTGTTAAAAGAGTTGTTGAAGATCTATGTATGTTACTTTTTTGGACTTTTTTTTACACTTTCTAATTTCAGAGAATTTATTTGTCACAATTGATTGATGCTAAAATTGAGTTTTAATTATGTATTTATATTTAATTATTTAAATAAGATTCAGAATTGTGGGTTTATAGCCATAACATTATTACCATCCACCATAACCCATCGAGGCATGCACTCCACTAGACCTCTGAAGGTATCTGGCACCTAGCAGTCAATAGCAGATCCTTTAAGTGTAAGTTGTGAGGTGGGGCCTCCAATGATCAAACTTGCTTTCCAGAACAACCCATAGATGTTCAATTGGCGTGACATCTTCAAAATTTGGAGGTCAAGTCAATACTTGCATGTTGTGTTCCTCAAACCAGTCATCAATTCAGCAGGCCAGGTCACTTTCTTACATTGCTCTGTTGTCCAGCTCTGATGCCCACGTGCCCATTGTAGGTGCTTTTGGTTGTAGACACAGGTCAGTATAAGCACCCTGACCAGTCTGAGGCTATTAAACACAACAACCTGTTTTCTGACACCTTTCTATTGGATCCAGCCTGAACGTTTTCAGCAGTTTGAGCTACAGTAGCTGTTCTATTGGATCGGTCATGTGAGTCATTGAGCCTTGGCTGCCCATAACCCTTTCACCAGTTCACCAGTTTTCCTTCCTTGGAACACTTTTGGTAGGTCCTGACCCCTGAAAAACAGGAATATCCCATAAAGATCTGTAGGTTTGCACTTGCTCTGACCTAGTCGTCTAACAATTACAATTTAGCCCTTGTCAGAGTTGCTCAATTCCTTACTCTTGTCCATTTGTTCCTACTTTCAACAAATTAACTTCCGGGATAAAATGTTGACTGCCTAATATATCCCACCTACATTACCTATGAGTGGTCATAATGTTGATGATTGGATGATAAAAAAAAATATATATATATATATATATATATATATATATATACAGTATATAAAATTAGGTTAAATGCTGTTTTGTTTTTAATATAGTCTATTTTGAAGATTGTGCTGATCTTTAAATGGCTGCTTACTTCGGAAGTAACGGTTTTGGGTTGTGCACATCATACTACCGCATTGTTTTTCAGTTTTAAGTGTTTAAGTCCTCATTCACACAGGCATTGAGGCCCGTAGTCTGTAAATGGGCAATGTGTTAAGCTGACTGGAGCTGGCAGGTATAGTCAGTCCATTCATGGCAAGGGGACACAGCAACTCCATGGGCATAGCAGATCATCCTCAATTCTGAATGTCTTCAGGTCGACCCCTTTGGAGTCCCCCTGGACCTTATGCTCAAGCCATACACGAGGCCATGACTTCTGCCCCAGTAGGATCATGTCCCATCTTTCGTGCTAAATCCCACTCTATCATTTGTCTGTGAAATACCAGGATTTCCACTACCCACCAAAGTTCTGACTATTGACAGTTGATTGGCAGGGACGGGGCTTTTCACGAGGAAGGGCAGGATTTAAAGTGTATGTAAAGGCAAAACTTTTTTTTTTTCTTAGTTTTGGATAGAGT